CTTTATGTCTCTCTTAGAGTATAACAGCTTTATGTCTGCCTTATGGTTTTATGCAGAGGTGAAATACTCAAAAAAATTAAGTAGAGGTATTCAGCTGTGTAAAGTAGACCTGTTTTGGAAAAAGAAAAAAAAAATCTGCACGACAAAGCAGCTCAAATAAGTCCTAAAAATTAAAATACCGCCTTAAAAAATAAGCTCCGGTACTTGGAATTTCACCCCTGGTTTTATGTCTCCCTTAGATCAATGTGGTTTTATGTTTCTCTTAGAACATCAGATATTACTAATTTATAAGACAAACATTTGCTTCTATCAAACAAAACTATAAATTAATATTATATCTTCCGATGCAGAAATAGAAGATATACATACCTTATTAACACCTTGATAAACTGCTCCCGTTGCTCCTTTCCCTAGTACACATGTTGTACTCCATACGTAGTTAGGGGATCCTCTCATATACGACATACTTTATTGATCCAAGAAGTACTGTGGAAGTTATTCATTTTAACTTAACCACTAAAATTCACTTGTATTGTGTATTACATTTTCACTTAGATCCAATCTACATTTACGTTAACTATAAATATGTTGCTGATAGATGTTTTGACAAGAAATGGTGAACGAGTCTTTACTTTTGAGCAAAATTAGTTTTTATTACTTCTTCCACAGTTCAGCCAGATAATATTTTGAATGGAAAATCTCAATTACAAAAATGGACACTTGGATGTATTTAATATGGTAAGTTATAATAATTCAATAATTACATGAAACAAAAATACAAAGCAAATAAGTTAAGCAGATGATACAAATCCTGTTTCTATTTCTTAAAGTCACTAGATGTCAAAGGAATAATTTGCTTTTTTATCATAGGTTTTTCATTAAAAGAAGTTTGATGTATTAATAAAAGTACAAACAGTGAACACAAACTACATCATAGTTTAAATTCTTTTTTACTTCATGTATTAAATATTTATTTATTGGTTTCATAATATTTCATACTGAGACCCGGCAGATTGTAAATGCTTCTTTTACTTGTAGTTAAGTTTCATATCTATTTGTCAAGATGCCACATTTGAAAAAGGTGTGATCCAAGATTACTAAACATTATCCTTTAACCACTTTTGATATGAAAACTAAGTGATACTGTTAAGTTACTGTATTAAGAGCAGCCAGATTCTAAGAACATAATAAAACACTACACAACATAAACTAGCCATCTGACCCAATAATAAAACCAGCACAGTCCAAATGTATCCCTCAAATCCATAAAATTGACAAATAAACACTTAAAAGAATTCAAGAAAATCAATCGGCCCAAATGACATCATCTGAACAAAAAGAAATCATTCCACAAGTTAACAGCTATAACTTCCAAGAGGAAAATTAATTTGCCTACAAACCAGTGTGGGCTTTGAATTAATTGTAAAATAATGCTAATGATACAAGACCCCTGCTTTATTACACAATATAAGTGAGGTTATATAAATGACTACTGTGTATATAGTTAAATGAAAACAACTACATGACCATTGTTTAGACAATCTGTAGTTTGGACTATGTGCATAATTTACATGACTATATCATTAAACTAGGTAATTTGACATATTATAGTTTAAAAGTACCTAGTTCAAGGGGGAAATTCTGCCGGTACTCACCAGTACTAAGTACCGGAACTTACTTTTTAAGGCAGTACTTGTACTGGGACTTATTTGAGCTGTTTTTTGGATGTGAATGCATTCCATTGTTCTATTTATTCATTGACACTCAAATTGTCAATTTATACGTTTACATGTAGATTTCTTTTTTTTTTCAAAAACAGGTCCACTTGACCCAGCTGAGTACCTCTACTTTTGTTTTGAGAATTTCACCCCTGAAATATAATCTTAACTGTATAATGTTAACTATATAATCACATATAGTTATGTATGTGATCATAAAGTCTTAAGGTGTTAACATCGGGTATATAAAGAAATGGTAACAACCAACGTGTGTGTAATTAAATTAAAACAATACATGACTTTCATGCCAACAATCTATAGTTTTAACAATATGCACAGCCAGACTGGAACATTAATTATTACTAGTTGCATAGCTGTCAACCTCAAATACCCATGAATGAGGGAGAAAATTAAAAAGCTGTGGTCCATAGCAAAGGTGGGGGGCAAGCCCCGTCCCAAAAATAAGTTTTGCATTTTTAGAGTTTGAGTTAATGTGTCTTTCAGCATCATGTAATCCTTGCAGCTTGAAGTGTGCATCAAAAATAATTGACAGTGGATGATTCAGGCAAAATCCATGGATACTTCTTTGTCCATTGTGGATTGAATTTAGTATTATAATTTGTAGCACCTTGATATTTTGTCAGTTTGTGTTGTTTTGAAGTTGATGTCCATCAACCAAACCACTTTCGCTCACCTAGTTTGATAACAAATGGTGCACGCTTAATTGAATATGATAGCTCATTCCATGATTATCAAGCAATCAAAGAACCTATGGTAACATAACCTGACAAAACTTAACCTACATTAGCCTAGATGACACAGAAAATGTAGTATGCTTCACTCTATCGACCATGGTTGTTTGCAAAATCAGGCCAAAGTAGACAACAATTACCATTTCTATACTGTTTACTCATGTAAAAAAACAAAAAATCTATTTCCTCACAAATGTTTCCCCACACGAAACAAACTCATATCAAAGAAATGACTGCTGAAGAAAAGAAAATCAACCATCCTGGATTAGATTCAAACACCTGCCAGTAGTATCCTGGAACTAATTCCTTCACCTATTTAATAATATCCCACCAAACCCTGCTATGTGGTGTCAAAATGCAAATAAACATGAATACATAAACAAGTACAGTGCTGCTACTTATACATACTTATATACATCAGTTATCTGACCTGTCCTGTAATACTAACAGCCTTTGCAACTTTCTTTATATTTACTACATTGTTCATAAATTTTTATTAAAACGTATCTTCGATCTTTTTTTAAAAAAATATATCTAATTGTGTTTTGGATATTGATTTGTGCTTTGTAGTTACACTTCTAACTCGTACAGTATAACTATAACATTTATTTAAATGGTGATTTAAGCAGTAAGAATTAAAATACTATCACTAGTTTACTATAGTACAAACCTAAAACTGTATATTTACTTCTAATAATTTAAGTATTTACCATACAAGATATAATAATAACAATTATAATACCGAAGTAAATTTAATTATCAATTGCTAAATAATGGTAAAGTAGTAGTTATCGCTGAAACATCCAGTTCAACATAATTTTCTGATCTTATTACTATTATTAATAAATTGTGCTGAATCATTACTTAATAAGACTTTGAGAGAATAAAGCTACGAGAACGTAAAGCCTACGTAACACTAACACTACGTACCTAACTCGTAGAATCTTCATTAAATGTAAGCCTACATTATACTTATAATTTTTTTAATCTTTATCTCTATCATTTGTAAACTGGTTAGGACTTACACGGAAATGTTTTCAGATGACAATTTTAAAAACCAAAACAAGAAACATCAATTTATATTAATCAAATACAGACTTGAATTCTTTCAGGCCACGATGAACAAGTTTCGGTTTGAAAGAATTATGGCGTTGAACTTAAAAATGTCTTATTTTTTTATTGTTTATTACATTTGACGCAAAGCTACGCGAGAGATATCCGTGTTCTTCTTCTCTAATTTAGAAGCGATACCCTAGAGGGAAGATTGCTAGCCCACCGTTAACTCTAGGGATACTCTTTACCATCGAAAATTGCCATTGACCGTACTCATAACGTTCTCACGGGGCGAGCATGTGTAACGATAACATTTGAGCCCATGACTTGCAGACTGCGAATAGAGCGCTCTAACCAGTAGGTCAGATAACGTCTTAATAAAATAAAAACTTATTACTGGCTTACGAAAGTGACAAGCTACTCAATCTTTTTGCAGAAGTGAGCTTGTCATTAAGTATATTGTTACGTCTCTGGTTGTTTGTTAATTTCCGGTATAAATTCTTCCCGAGGAACTTCAGTGATACAAGTCCTTTCTTAAATAAAAATAGTTTATTCTTTCTCAATACAACTTTGCAATACACAGAATTTCCACAGTCATATTTTCAGTTAAACACACGCTATAACTCACAACAATTCACGCACTTTACTTACGGTCACTACCGCTCGCTTGACTCAGTTATCTGTCTCTACATCTCTCTATCTGCTATCTATCTCCGCTTTATTTGCAGGGCTTATATACAATAAAAAAGGGCGCCTAGAAAAGACTAGAGTTGCCAGGAACAGTAAAGGTCCTTCGAGAATCTCATGTCGTGTTACCAGTTTCACGTGACTTCCGCTGTCGTAACAATATATTTGTTTTTAGAATTTTGCGCAAAGCTATTCGAGGGTTAACTGCATTAACTGTCCTTAATTTAGAAGTGATAGACTAGAGAGAAAGCAATTAATCAACACTACTTACTGCCAACTCATGGACTACAGTGAAAAGTGGAATTGCCCATCACTTTCCAACAACCCCTCGGCTGAATGGGCGAGCATGTTTTGTGACTGGATTCTAACTCGCCACCCAGATTGCTAGTTAAGCATCCTATGCTAACCACCTAGCCATGTAGTAAGTAGAAAATAAATAATGATCTAAGAATGCCAAAGTGATTTAGTTAGTTAACCAGTGAAGTATTCAGTATATTATTTATCCACTTTAGTTTGTCAGTTAGACAATGAGAGTTCTCACATCTGTTCATCTCTGATTCAGTTAGTAAGTTAGTCAATGAGTTAGTCATCGTATTTGTTACTGAATGACCAATCAGTGAGGAACTTCTGCAAGTGCCCCCCAGTGGCACAGCTGTATGTCCGCAGATTTACAATGCTAGAAACTGGGTTTCGTTACCGGTGGTGGGAAGAGCACAGATTGCTCATTGTGTTGCTTTGTGCTTAACTTAAAAAAAATACTTCTGCAAGTAAGTTTGTTTGTGAGTCAGGCATACATCAGTCTCTCAAAAATGCTTCTGAAGTCAGGCCTACCAGTAAACATTGCATGTAAAAAAACATTGTTTGAGAAAGAAAGAAATTCATTATTGTTGCATGAACTGGACTTCACACTATTTCTCCAAAGTAATCCACATAGAACACATCACAACAATATTGTTGCGTCAGCGAGGTCACGTGACTAGTATCACGCCACGTACTTCTCGAACCTTCGTGAATTGTCGGGAGACTACTAGATTGGGGGTAGTCTGGTATATATAAGACGGTCACAACGTGACGGAACAATGTATATAATTGAACTGAGTATTGTTGAAGTCGAGCACGTGAGACGTTGTTGAGAATTATAGCGTTTGTTATAGCGCGACTGTTGAAATTTAATGTATTGTTGCGTCATCGAGATGACGTGACTATTCTCACGCCCTCTAGTTTCTAGAACTATACCGTATCTTGGCGAATG